GGCCCTCGGCCCGACCGCCCCGGCTCTAGCCCCTCGCCGCCCCGGCCAACCCCGCCGACGCCGCTCCGCCGGCCCGGACGCTGGCTTCAATAAGGTTCCGGCTCGAGCTCCCTGGCCGCTTCCGCCTCCTCCGGCCCCGCCCCGGCCGCGGCCCCGCCCCCGCGCTCGCCCTGGGCCCAGGCCCGCCCCGTCCCGCCCCGCCCCGCGCCGCGCCGCGCTTCACGGCAGTCCCAGCCCGAGCGGCCTGGCGGTCTCCCCGCACCCCAGCCCAGGAAGAGGCGGTGCCAAAAGGGCCTTCCGTTTCCGCTCATCCAGAAAGGCGGGCTGATTGACAGGCTAACTGAACAATAATAGCAAGTGCCTAGTGGAGGTTCCCGTGAGTCTCTGTGCCCCTGTACTAAACAACCAATCATAATCTTCTTCCTCTTGGGCGGGCTCGAGGACAGAATTTACTGCCAAAAGAAAGAGTTCATTGGACTGCACCTGAGGAAGCCGCCCTAAACACCACTTCTGGACGTGCTTCGATCCCGTGTGGTCCTTCTGGGTAGTTTCTGGATTTTGCCCACAGTAGAGGTGGGGAGATTGGTTGTGAGTCTTAGCCAATAAGCTCACACCCTGTCTGGAGGCTGAAAGGCCCATTGGGCAAAAAGTCTTGATTGACGTGAGTGCAAGCCAATCAACGCTCCCGGGAAAGGGCTCCGTGAAGTTCCCTCAACTGCAAATCCCTGTGAGTAGTATGGCGAGCTTGAGTTAAGGGTGGAGTTCAGTCGCAGGAACAGACAGCAGTTGTTATTGCTGTTGTTACTGTTCGTGGTTCTGGAGTTCACTGGGCTTAGGTGACTGTCACCCAGGGTATGTTCTATGGGTGCAGTCATATTGCTGGGGCTAAAGTCAGATCAGGGCCTTCCATACTCATAATTATTGCCTGATGCTGGCTGTGGACTAGGCCCCAGTTGGAGCTGTTGGAATGCCCACACATGGCCTTCCCGTGTGGCCTTGACCTCCTCACAGCGCGGCAGTTGGGTTCCAAAAGCAAGTGTCCCAAAAGTCAAGAAGTAGAAGTTGCTAGTTTTTTAGGACAACGGTTGTTTATACTGGATCAAACTTCCCTCAGGCTCCTGACCTCCTAGAATCCTGCTAAGTCAGTTTAGGAACCCTGTGCCTCCATATCTCATCTGGTTCCTTAACCTCCACCATGGCATAGGTGATTCCTGATCACATACAGTTGCCTGCCTTCAACAAGAATCCTGTTAGGTGGGTTCTACCAGAAACCCCCTTACCCTTGATGTTTCCTCTTAGTAACTTTCCATCCACTGACCCTACCCAGCTCCTTGGCTCTAAATCCCCACTTACCCATGCTGTATTTGAAGTTGAGCCCAGTGCCCCCCACTGCAAAATCCCGTTGCCATGGTCCCTATATCTATAGTCTGCCTTACCATCTTCAACAACTCTCCATTTTTTTTTCAACTGGAATCAAACTGATACAGAAGCTTTACTCTGCATTATATTCTGTTAGTCAAGCAGCCACAGAATCAGATTGATGGGAGGAGAGTTGAATGTTTTAAAACTTCCCAAATCCACCCTCTGGCCACAAATGTTTTACATTCTTTCCACATGCAGCACACACTCCTTTCTCCCCAGACCCCTGCAAAATTCTCCTTCTATTACAGCATTAAGGTCCAGAATCTTGTGAGGTCCTGGAGCAGATGAGGCTCTTGGATGCAGTTCCTTGGGTGTTACTCAAATGTTTCCTTTCCATGTGAAGATCTGTGAATTCAAAAGACAAGTAGTCTGCACCAAGCACTACCACATACATCACATGCAATGATGAGGGAGGCACAGAAAACTGGGCCTTTATAGGCATTTCCCTTCAGAGAGGAGAGAAATGGAAGGCACACAGCAGATGCTAGTCCATAGAAATTCTGAAATCTAATAGGTAAATATTGCCGGTTCCTTGATTAGGACTGTGGCGACTTTCTGGGAGTACTCAGGGGCCCTTCCCTCCACCCACTGGACTCTTGGCTCCACTCTCATGAGTTATCCTTCCAGTTCCATAAAAAAGTAGCCCATGTTTACAGCTAAATTGTTTTCTCAGCTGCTTCCTGTCTGTAGTTGTGCAGGAGTCCAAAGACCTCTCTTCACATTGTACTGTTACTGTCCCTTTCAGTCCAAGCTAATACAATTCATTTTAAACTTTGTGTGTTTATTGTGAATCAATTTATAATCTAGTCCAATAAATAAAAACTACACCAACACATATGTTGGGGAAGGAGGGGCAGCTGAGCTGTATTGTTCTGGTTCAAGGTTTCTCTTAAGGTTACAGTCACAATATCAGCTGGGGCTGCAGTTGGGAAGGCTTCACTAGGGCAGGAGGATCCACTTCCAAGCTTGCCTGCATGACCACTGGCCAGAAGCCTCAGTGCTTTGACATTTCGGACCACAAGAAGACCACAAGAAGTTTTGAGTGTCTTCAAAACTTGGCCTTGGCACCTCCCAGAGTAGGTAAAGCAAGAGAGGAAAGAGATGGCAGTGCCTGTTATGATGTGATCTCCAGGAGTCACACACCATCCCTTTCACTTTATTTCTGTTTCATAGAAGCAAGTCATTCAGTCCAGCCTTTGATCAAAAAGAATTAGTCTGCATTTTTTGAAGGAATGAGTATCAGAGAACTTGTGGACATATTTTTAAATCAGAACAGCTACATTCATCATTATCACTTAATAGGTTTTGAAGGCACTAAAACAGCATGATTAGATCATAAAATGGAAAGAAGGAGGTTAAAATTATCACCATTTATAGACTGTATGCCTGGAAATCTCATGAGAAACAAGTAAAAATTTAATAACATTGCATACACCATGAATAAGTATTCATAAATCAATAGCATTATATAAACAAACAGGTTTGAAAAAATAATGAAAAGATCAATTTATAATAGGATTTTAAAAGATAAAATATCTAGGAACTAATCCAATAAGAAGTGTAAAGAACTATGGGAGCAAAAGTTTAAAGTTCTCAAAACAACCACAAAAATACATTGAAAATAATAAATACTACATCCAATATTATAATGGAAGATCTCCTTAAGCTAACAAATAAATTTAATACCATCCCAGTAAAAATACTAATAGAATTGTTTTTAACTGGACAAATCGATTCTAAGATTAATATGGAAAATTAAATGAACAAAAATAATCCAAAAAATTAGAAAAAGCCAAAAAATATTGACACTATAAAACCTAAATGTATGAAAGAGTGTGTGTTGGTGAATGAACAAAACAGCAAGGGAAGAGGATGAAAAATCTGGAAAATCTAGATCAATATACATATGGAAATTTATTATGCAGTAAAAACTGACCTCTCAAATCAGTGGAGCGTATTCAATAAATAGTTTGGGAATCAATTTTAACCGTCTGTAAAAGATACCAAAATTAATTCTAAGCATCTTGAAGTCTGGTTTGTTTTTTTTCCAGCAAAATGTTTAAAAGGATAAAAAGCAAAATTATAAAACACTAGAAGAAAATATGGGACAATAATTTTAGATACTCAGGGAGCAAAACGCTTTTAAAATTATGACACAAAATCTAGAAATCTTAAGAGACTGACAACACAAAAAGATTTTACTTTCTTCATAGCAAATACCACCATAAGAAAAATCAAAAGAGAATTAAAAAAAAAACCTATTTAGAACTTGGGTGATGGACAAAAGCTTTATTCCCCTAAAATATAAAGAGTTCCCTACAAAAAGATGAAACAAAGTACAGTGAAATAAAAATTTACTTTCTTCATAGTAAATGGCACCATAAGCAAAATCAAAAGAGCACAGAAAAAAACCCAAACCTATTTAGAACTTAGATCATGGACAAAACTTTTATTTCCCTAGTATATAAAAATAAAGAGTCCCTGTAAGTAGATTAAACAAGTAGTGTGAAAATGGCATTTGTATACTGTCACTCCAAAGAATATACAAACTGAAGTACATCTTTGAGATACACCCACACAGAAACTTTCACTGAAAAGAACAACTAAGTTAAGGGGCTGCCTCTTGCAGAATGATCTTAAAACCTCACCACTAGAATTTTATGTTGCCAATAAAGGTGAAGATTAACCACAACTGAAGAACACTATTTGCTATTTTGCAAAGTTGTGAATGAAGCTGCTACAGCTCTCGACAGAAAGGCGCTATGGCCATGGTCAATGATCCCAGACGTAGCACTGTCTCTCCATTAGATGTGACCCTGGGGATCAGCCAAGGAACAGCTGCTCTTCTTACAGACCCTCATCCAATCAGGGCTTAGAAACAGCTAATGAATAGGAAGAATGAGGTCCTGATAGAGGAAATCAGGCCTTTAAGAAACATTCACATTTGAGCCCTGGATTCAATAGTGCACAGCAATTAATCTTTCCTTAAGAAAAATCAGTGAAAAATGGCATGATTTTCAAAGCTAACGAGTTAGCAGACACTTTCT